CGTCCCGAAGCCCGAGCAGAGGTCCCCGGAGGCCGAAAGCAGCGAAACACCTGCCGTCGCGACAACTGCACGGCGCGAGGCGGCCTCGCGTGCGGGGACCTCCGAGGGCCGGGATCCGAGGCGGCAGCAGAGCTCTGCCGCGCGGAGGCGCCCCCGGAGCAGAGAGGGGCACTCCCAAAGGCGGAGCGCCCGGGCCCAGAGGGCGGGAGAGCCCACCTCCTCCTCCTCCTCCTCCTCCTCCTCCTCCTCCCTCCTCCTCCTCCTCTCCTCCTCCTCCTCCTCCTCCTCCTCCCCCCCCCCCGCCGGCCGAGGCAGGGGGGGGGGGGGGGGGGCTGCTCCTCCGCCGCCGTGCCCGCTGCACGGCGGTGCTCTGCCGCCGGGGCGCGCGCGAGCTGCCCCCCCCCCCCCCCCCGGCCCGGCCACGAGAAGCCTTCCACGGGAAGCCCAGCCCAGCGGCCCCAGGACGACCACCGAGCTCTGGGTGCGGGAGCGTCGCGCTCGCCATCGCGAGGCCATCGGAGCCCAGGAAACACAGGGCACCCTGGAGGCAAGCAGGGCGTTTCTTGGCGCGGGCTTCCACTGCAACCAGCCGCGAGCTGCTCCCCACGACTGAGATCGGCAAGCAACGGGCGATGACAATCTTAGGGATGTACCCTCAGAAACTGAGGGCATCCTTCGGATCGGCTCCGGGGTGAGGTGATGCCAAACACAGGGATAGGGATATGTTTCAAGCTGGTAAGTGTCTGATGTCGTCGCCATTCTCGGTCATTCTGCCCAGGGTTCCCTTATGAGCCCATTCGGCGTCTGAGCCCGTTCGGCGGCCGAATGGGCACGCGGTCAAGCCCACTCGGCGGCCAGACAAGCTGAAATCTCAGCGCGGTTTTGGAATTGGGCGGCCGAACGGATTCAGAAGACGCATTGTCTGTGGCAGCTCATGGGAGCCAGTGACATCTCGTTGTGTCTTGCGAGTCCAAGCTAACAACCGACGCTAGTCGATGCGAATCGACGCTGGATCGAGGACGAATCGTTGCTAAATCTGCGTTTTCTCATCGATGACCAGACGACATCGCACGCGAGTGTATCTTAAAAACGAAATGTACAGGACACACGAGATTCCAATGAGCTGCCACCGAGCGAATGGGCTCAGAAGGAAACCGAAGGTTCATCATTGGGCCGTGTCGTGTCGTTTCCTCCTTGCGATCGCGAGAGAGAGAGAGAGAGAAAGCGACAGAGAGAGAGCGCGCTGCAGGCAGCGAGGTAGAAAGCGGGTCTCCGGATGCTGCGAATGAAGGATAGGGCCCACCAACGTCTGGTCCTCGGAAGTCGCGCGGCCCGATCGCAAAGGCAGGGCCCCCATCCTTCTCCTCCTCTTCCTCCCCGGCCTCCTCTACCCTCACCTCTTATGAGATCATATTCATGATCGTCGTCATCATTATGATCATCATCGTCTTCTCCACCACCACCGCCACCACGATCATCAGCTTTCTGCCTCTGCGAGCAGCGACAACCCTACCTCCCATCCTCGCTAAACTATCAGGACATCTCAAGCAAGCTTGCGAAGACTGCGCCCTGTACATTGCGGCTCTCGTTCGGGCTCCGCCGAGCTGCGCAGTTCGGTCTTACGCGTCCACCGAGCGCGTGCGGGCGTGCTTGCAGCCACCCTGCGGCATGCGATGCAGCGGTCTTGTGACGTGGCGCGCCCTCACTCGACCTGGCGACAACCCACTGCGGGTGTACCCACCGCAGCCTCGAATGAGGCCCCCAGATAAAAGCAGCTCAAAGTTCGAGCTTTGCGAGGAGATGGCAAGCAGGCACGCGGCGCCGTCGTGCGTCCTGCTGCGCTTCAGCATTTCGCGCTCCACGGGCGTGCCTCCGCCCGCCGAAGCTCCCGACCGCCGCGGGCGCGGCGGGGCACACACACACACACACACACACACACACACCCGGGGGCGCGCGAGCGAGGCGAGCGACGAGCGCGAGAGCAGGCGGCGGCGCCCCTGGGCCAGCAGCAGAGGCGGCAGCGGGCAGGCGGCAGCGTCCGACGGGCTCCCCTCCCGGGCGTCCGCAGGACTTCGACTTCCGCCCCGGGGGGGGGGGCCCAGGAGCACATCGACCCCGTCACCTGGGGGGCGACCTTCGCCCTGGACCCGTGCTTGATGGCCCCGGGGCCGGGACGAGGAACCCCGCAGACCTGGATTTAGGTCGGGCGTGTTCCCCTACAGGCGGATTTTGGAGGCACAATTCAAAATACCCCAAAACAAATACTCCCAAATAGTCCAAACATAATCGAAGAATCGTCCCCATACTATTTTTACTATTTTCGAATGCTCCTCCTGTAGAGGGCCCGACTTGGACCTGGATCGAAAAGAAGCGCCGCGAGGGAGCAAGCTGCTGGAACCCTGCGGAGGTCTGGGCTCACTGGTCCGCCCTGAGGGGCGGTGGTAGGAGTGACCCGCTCGGGGGGAAGGGGACCTCGGAATTCGGACCTGCAGCTGTCGCCGGCTAGGGCGTCGCAGGAGGGCGCCGTAGCGCCAGGTACAATCACAAACCCTAATAAGGACGCGCGGTAAGGACGCAAGACCCTTGGAAGCCGAAGTTGGGATTTCTGGGACGGCGGACGACGAAACCCCAAGGACGCAAGAGCAAGGAAGAGCAAGGACGCAAGGGTACCCTGAGCAAAGTCGAGCGTCCTTATTAGGGTTTTTGACTGTGTGTGAAACGCGTGGGAGCGCTGAAGAGAAAGCGACAGAGCGGCGAGGCAATGCACAGATGTAAGCCAGGTCTCCGTCGCGCACCAGCAAGGGGAAGGCGGTGGGGGAGGAAACATCATTTTTTTGATTCGCGGGTCGAGAGCGCACCTCTTCCGGTCGAAGCTAAGCGGGCCGCGCGAAGCTTGAATTAATCAGAGAGGGGGAGGAGCGGGGGAGGAAAAATCTGCCTGGAATCGGCGATGCGTCGCAGGTAGATCGGCAAGAGGCCCCCGAATGCGAGCCCGCACGTTCCTGGCCGGGGATGGGCAATCGGGCCTTACCCCTCTCGGTGATGAAGGAGCCATTGGGGGTCGATGCTATTGAAGGGGCCCCAGGACACACAAATAAATACACACAAATAAACATATTCCCCATATTTTCCCATGTCTTCTGGGTTTTTGTCTTCCCCCCCACTTCCCAAATTTTCCAATGTTTTCCTGGGAATCGACGATTACTTGTGTCTGTGCGTTTCTCCCCCTCCTGAGCGATGCTTCCCCCCTCCCCCTGAGCAGACCCCTCCCCGACGCTGCCCCTGACGAGGACAGCGCGGAGGACGAGCGGGGACGGCGGCGGAGGGGGGCCAGGGAGGCCTGCGAGGAGGGGCGCCGAGGCGGCCGCGAGGGAGGAGGACGCGAGCGAGGAGGAGGTCCACCGCCGCAGCCCGCCGCGGGTCCTCCACGATGACCAGCAGGGCAACGTCGCGCGACGCCTCGGGCGCGCGGCCGCTCGAGGAGGAGCGCGTTCGGCGGAAGGCGGGGCGCGGCGGAGCGCCGCGACGCGAGGGGCCCCGCGGCTCGCCGGGGGCTCGCGGGCAGGCCGCTCCGCGGGCGCCGTGCAGCCGATCCCCATCCCCAGCGGCGTGGGCATGGGCCCCACTGGCCGATTTACCCCCCCCTAGGCCCCTGAGGAGTCTTTGAGGGGGCAGGACCTCGAATTCAAGAGGTCCCCAAGACGGCCCGAGCGGGCCCCAAGGCGCCCAAAGATCGCACCAAGACGCCCGAGAAGGTCCCAAGCTGCCTAAGAGGCCTCCGAGACGCCCCAAGAGAGCCCCCAAAGCCCAGGAGCCTTCCCAAGAGGGCTCCGAGAGGGCAAAATCATTGATTTACCATAGGTGTTTCAAAGAGTTTGGGGTCCTCGACTTTTCGAGTTCCCGACGCTCCAAGACGGCCCAAGGGCCCCAGGACGGCCCAAGAGGGCTCCAAGACGGCCCCAGAGGCGCCCAAGACGGCCCAAGAGGGCCCAAGTACAGCCCCAAGAAGGGCCCAAGAGGGGGACAACGACACGAGAAGCCGCATCTTCCGCTCCAAGAGGCCCCAGGAGGCCGCAAGGAGGCTCCCACAGGCCCCGACTAGGCCCCAAGAGACCCCCAAGAGCCCCCGAAGACGACCTCAGAGGCCCCTTAAACGGCCCCCCAGAGGCCTTACAACGGCCCCAAAGAGGCACCCGAGAGGCCTCCCGCGACATCCCAACGAGCATCCCAGCGGCCCGTGACCCACAACCCAGGCACGGTGGCGGGATGGGCCGAAGGCCATTCGATATATAGAGAGAGAGATATAGATGTAGGTTTTGATATAACTATACACATATATGTATATGATGTGCGCGTACAGTCATATTGCTACACACATGTGCGCGCATCTACACCGATGCAGTGGCATAGATGCATATACACATGTATGCATACGCGAGATCCACGGGAGTACCACGGGACGACCCACAACACCACCATGAGACCACCACCACGGGACACCCACGGGACAGCCCTCAGGACACCCACAAAACAGTCCACGGGAATACCAACGGGACAACCCAAAGGACAACCGCGCGACGACCCACCGGACAGCCCAGGGGACCACGGCGGGACATCCCCGCGCCCCACCACGAGACACGGGAGGGGCGGGCCCTGACCTCGCGCCGCGGCGCCGCGCCCGCCCGCGCGCGCGACGCGAGCCGAAGCCGAAACCGAACTCCCAGCGGGGGTCACGTCGCTCCCACCCCCACCAACCTCCCATAGTCGAGGTCGCGTCGGGCTCGTAAAGGCCTGCTGCAGTCCGACGTGACTACACGGAGAGCAAGCGGCATAGACAGAAACTTTTGGCGCTCCGCGCGAATCTCTTCGATCTGGGCTAGAACTCCCCTCCCTGGCGCGTGGAACGCGCCAGGGGCGACGCGGGAGGCGCCGCCAAGGGGCCCTAGCGCGGATCCAAGAGATCTGCGCGGGGCGCCAAAAGTGTATTTGTACGCCGTTTTTTCTTCTTCGATCGCTTGGAGCGGGCACGCGAGAGGATACAGAACCCTTCCGAGGGCCACGCTGCCACAAGAATGCTGAAGGCAAGGCACTTTTCGCGAAGCACCGGACACAAGGGTTCCCTCCTCCTCCTCCTCCTCCTCCTCCTCCTCCTCCTCCTCCCCCTCCTCGTGCCAACTGTGCAGCCTCACCTCACCATCCGATACCTGACTCCGTAATCCTGCCAGGCACCCGACCCGTCGCTCCCCCGCGCGCGGTGAGCTCGAGCGGCACCCGCACGAGGGGCAGCGTAACGGGGAACTGGCTCAGGGGGAGCAACGCCGACCTCGAATCGGCGGTGCATCGCCGACAGATCGGCGATCGGTGCCCAGCGGCTAAAAGCCGCACGCCCCTTGGCGGGGCGGGGCTATCGGGCCCTTATCGATGCGCCCCTCCCTGAGCCTATCCTCCCTAACGCTGCCCCTGAGGTGAGCTCAAGCGGCACCTGCCTGTCAACACAGGTCGACTCCGCCGAGTGCCCGCTGCGGTGCTCGGCCTCTTCGAGACCCCCCCCCCTGGCGGGAGCCAGGGGCGAGAGCGAGGCCTCGAGGGCGCAGCCTGTGGCTGTTGAGCGTGCTCGCGAGGGCAGCCCCCTACGCGCGCCAGCACCAGGGAAGCCTCCCAGGGGGCCGCGGCCCGAAAGCCAGCCTGACCGCGTAGGCGAGCGGAAACACGACCGCTTGATGCGAGGCGTATGTCGAGGAACAGAGAGCTGCATGAACACCAGCTTACGGAGCTCCACGCGGACTTCTCCATGCCGCCATTCCGACGTCCATTCCCCGTGCAGTGTTTGTTCGGTTTCGTGCGCGATGTTTTCTTGCTCGATGATCCAGGATGCTCGTCGATGGTCCTCGCCGAGAAAAAATGCAGACGTCCGAGCCATGCCAAGTCTCGGGTCGGCGCTGGGCCCCCCTGGCGAGCTGCGCGCGCCAGGGAGGGGGGCGCCACCAGGGGGTCCCAGCGCAGATCCAAGAGATCCGCGCGGAGCTCCCTACAGACGGACCTAGACCAGAATAACACCCTTCAAGAACATGAGAACCTCCGCCGGCCAAAAAGACATAGAGCATCCAAGGGTTAGCCTCCCCAGGATGCACGGGAACATCCAGCAAGCACGAAGAACATTGGGGTACCCTCCCGGAACCGACCTCGAAATGTTGCCTCGGTCCAACAGTACAGTGGAGGCCAGTCCAAAAGAACACTTCCACAAGAAACCCAACACTGAGACCCAGGACGTCCGTTGCTTTTCGGTGCTGGAGCGTCACGCTCGCCATAGCAAAAAACCATCGAGACCCAAGACGCCCAGTGCACCCTGTAGGCAAGCAGGGTGCTTCTTGGCATGGGCCTCCACTGCAAGGCACCCTCCCCGAACCGGCCTCGTTCTCTTGCCTCGGTCCGACTGTCAGCTCATGCTCATGCCGCTGTGCCTCCCTCGAGCAATAGGCTTAGGTTGGGCATGTCCTCCCAAACGGAGATTTGGACGAACAGCAGGACGTACCAAACAAAAAAACAAAAACGCCCAAACATAGTCCGACAATGATCGAAACATCGTACCCAGTCTATTGCTTGACTGTGCTCGCAGTCCTCCTGTAGAGGGACCAAACAATCAAACAATAGTCGAAGAATCGTCCCAAGCAGTCCATAGCAATCAAATAAGAATCAACCAGTAATCAAATAAATAATCAAATAATACGCAAACAAAAAAATCAAACAATCAATAATCAACACAATCATGACTGTTCTCGAACAGTCCTCCTGTATGGGGGACAGCCTCGACCCAAGGCATAGGAGGAGGGCCCGCTGGCCGACCCAGGCGAACACCGAGTCGTGGTGGCCCGGCGGGCAGAGGCGCCGCGCCAGGAAGACCTCTGCGGGGCCCGGACGGCGCACACCACCACGGAGGAGGAGGAGGAGGAGGAGGAGGAGGAGGAGGAGCGCATAGACACAACACCTCAACGTACACACCACCCACCACCTCAACGTATAGACGACACACCTCCCTTCCATCCGCCCCCCCCCTCCCCTCCCCCCAGGTTAGGGGAGAGGAACTTCCTCTCCTAAGGAGAGGGTTGTGGAGGGAGGAGCGGGGCTGGACCTGAGCGCTGTGGTTCGTTATGTTTCCGTTTTGTTTGTTTTTTGTTCGGTCTGCTCCACCTGTTGTTGTCCTGCACCTCCCTCCCAAAACGAAGAACAGAACACGGCCGAGGTCCAGCAGAACAGCGTTCAGGTCCAGCCCTGGGGAGGAGGAGTCGACGTGGTGGTGTTCGGTCGGGCGTCTCCCCCTAGAGGGGGATTTTGAAGGAACAATGAAAAATCAACAAATGCCCCAACATGGCCAAACAAATAGTCTGAGCATCGTCCCTGACTGTTTTTAATACTACTTTTGAATATTCCTCCTGTAGAGGGACGTGCCCGACTTGACGGTGGTGGTGTATTTTCTTGGGGGCCCAGGGACACGCAAATAGATACACACAAATCCCAAGATTCCGTCCCCCCCCCCCGCGTCCCATATTTTCCTATATGTTCCTGGGGATAGACGATTAATTGTGTCTGTGTGCTTTTCTCCTCCTGATCTATTCTTGGGCCCGCACACCTGCGCCCGGGCCGAGTACAGCCCGACACCCAGCGTGTAGGCGGCCAGGCCGCCCACGGTGGGCTGGCAGTCCAGGGCCCTGGTGCGGCGGCACGCAGGAAGTGGAATGACCCCGGGTACCGTCGGCCCGTGTGGGGAGGCTGCGCGGTGAGGATGCGAGGGCCTTGGAGGGCCCTGCTGAAGGGGCCCAGGGACACACTAAGAAATAGACACAAATAACAGGATTCACCATATTCTCACACATTTGCTGGAAGTCGACGATTCATAGTGTCTGTGTTTCTTTCCCTCCTGACATGTGAGCGCGGTTCGAACGAGGCGGGCCTGCGAAAACGGCCAAGGATGGGCCGAAGAGGCACGGATGCAAGGGTAGCCTTGGAAAGTTGCTCTCATCCTGACTGTGCGGGGTGACTGTAAGAATAACCTTTGGTGCGCTGCATTGCGGGGGCCGCGAGGGGATCAAACACAAGCGAGCAAGACGCTGCTGCCGCATCGCGCTCGGCGATCGGGGGACCCCAGTGGGCCCGCACCCAAAGGTCGCTCCGGCGAAGGGTCACTCTTGCCTGTACCGATTCTGCTACTCCCCGGACCTCTCCCAGGGTGCGTTCCGACCAGAATTTCAACGCGAATCCAGCGGTGGCGAGCGACGAGGGCCTCCCAGGAGGCCCCAAAAGCGGAAAACGGGCGAAGGGTAGAGGTATTGATTACTCTTTCCGCCTCTCGGGAGTGTCCAAGAGAGGGGTGTCCAAGAGGGGGGGGTGCAAATCATGACCAGCGGCATGTGCGCGGCCCAGCGGGGGGGCGGCCAGGAACGTAATGAGATACGAAGAGGCGCCATGAACTCCGGAGAAATATCATGCCCCACGGCATGATATCCACCCCCCCCTAGTCATCACCCCCCTCTTTTCCGCCCCCGATCATCTGACAGTCGACCTGGAGGAGCAGGGGACATCCGGGAGGTAACCGAGCACGTACGAGCAGCACGCCAGCCCGCCCACCAGCAGCGCGAGCCGCCGCGCGTATAGGAACGGCAGGTGGCACAGCCCCCCGAGCGCGAGGAGGCGCGGCGGCGCGCACCGAGGGGAGGCAGGAACAAAGGCAAGGCGCCACCAACACCACCAGGGCAAGGAAATGCCAGGAGGAGGAGGAGGAGGAGGAGGAAGGAGGAGGGGGAGGAGGAGGAGGAGGGAGGAG